AGTGTCATTTCAGGTTGTGCGTGAGCATAAAATAGAATCAACAGAACTAACTGAATATTTAAACGAATTTTGTAAGTGCCGAACGCAATTCATAGGATAGTAATTTAAATATTTATCAAATTTGACAGCTCGCTGACTTTGGCGGTTCACCGGAAATTCTTCTATCGGTGAAGGCACATTTAATAAGCGATACCTTTGAAAAGCTTTTATCACCCATAACATGATGACTTCATACCATGTTTGGGCGAAGTGTTTCAAAAAAAGCCTGGTGACATCTTACACTTATTAGGTTGAAAATATACTTCAAATGATTTCCAGAGAATGATTTTATGAGAAACGAAAAGTAAAGTTTCTCAAGCAGCTGAAGAAACTGTAACGGTAAATAATACCCCAAAATTATTGACCACAGCAATCATCATTGACCCTCACTGTTTAAGTCGACTTGTTTAGTTGAAGGCTTCTGGTCAAGCATCCACGCTATTTGGTACTCTATCGTGTCACGTTCGTGCACGATCACTAGCCAGCTAAGCAATCATCCCGGTTTACGATTTGATCCCAAAATATATCTCGTACTTTGGACGATCAAATCGTGTCTTTTGCTTCGCCTTTGGTCTACACGGAACAAATACTATAGAAGTTTTGGGTATTAGATCTTGCATTAGTATACTTTGTACTATCCGTGAACGTCAGTACCGTCAGCCTCTAAAAAAAACTAATACTTGCCTTTCGAATGTGACTTTTGACTTTCTGCACTGAAGGTGCAACAGTCGTCACTATAATGCCACAGGTTCTGCCAATCTTAGTCTTCACGACATCTTGCCTATATAAATATATATATATATAAAGCCTTCATCATATTGATTGATAGAAATATTAGAAAGTCAAGTGCCAATCAAAACTGTCTCATGATTTTCGCATTCTCTAGTTATTAGCATGTGAGTGAATACGTAAAATAATAATAATAATAATTTACTTTATTCCAAAAACAGTACTTATAATACAGAATGGAATTCTCAGCATTTGTCACAATATTGCATCTGATTTACTCAAAATATATATAAAATCAAAACAAAATTAATCGGAGGAATTTGTCCACATTTACGACATAATTATTAGATATAATAATAATAAGTTTGCTTCAAACGGTATTGTCGATTCAGTTTGGAAACTTTAGCATATTATAGATTATTGGGTCTAATGTTCTGCTGATATAGCATAGTGAGGGGAAATGCAAAATTAACAGTTATAATACAGCTTAAAATTATGTCCACACTTATGAAAAAAAATAAACAAAACGAAAAAATTGAGAGGATTATAAATATAAGAAATACCATAACAATAAAGTATGCTGCTTTGAGGGTAAAGGAAATGGTTTATTTAGTAGTGCAAAGAAGGTTAGTTAGTTCATGTCTGACACTATTTTCATCACATAAAGTACGTGCTAAATATGGTAGAGTGGAATTTTATACTTAGATGTACGTGCATAAATTCTTCTGAAAAGACTTCTTGTTTTACCTGAGGAGGCCAACTAATACTGTAATACACTCTGTAATGCTACTACTGATAAAAAGTTTTATAATGTTTTCTTGTAATTAAAACAGGTCCGATACAACAAGTTCATGAACAGTAATTTGAAACTCTTTTGATTATGATATAATTCCTTGACGAATAAACTTAAGGGAGTTTTTCATAGAAACCTTTATTGACTACAATAAGAAAATAATTACAATGTGTTAATCGATTCATACTGATTTCTATGCATTTGTATGAGCGATTACACTGTAAAAATAAAGAACAGTGGTATCAAATTCGCTGTTTTCAAATTACTCCTTAATCTGGCTAGCAAGTACTACTGATTAATGTGTGTTGCTTAAAACTATTCAAATCAATCAGTTTTTTGCACAATCACAAAAATCAATTAGATTAATCCATCTTCTTATCTATGAGTGACTTCATAGCGTAAAACTAAACAACTTGAATAAAAAAAGTTAGATCTTAGCGAAGATGGCAAATTATTACAGTATTAACTGATGACGAAATTCAAAATCATACCTGAATATTGTCAGGTTTTCCAGTATTGGTTTGTAGGGATTTGATTGATTTGTTACAGGAATTCATCATGAGCTAGCATTAGTTAGAGAATCACTGGAAAACCTGCAGGGAGTACTGGAAAACTGTTTCGTCCTAGTTTAGGACTCTTCAGTAGTACTCACTCACCAGGGTTCAAACCCAGGACCTTCTGGTTACAAGGTGAGCTCGTAGACCATCAAGCCACTCGGACCCGATTCATTGGCCCATGAATCCTAACTTCTGCCAATTCTGCCAGTTGTCAGGTTTTGTTTGATTTAGCTATCAGTTAACATCGCTGAACAGTGGTACATTTTTATGGTCTGTAAATCCCAGCAGTCTTGTAGTCATGATGTCATTGCAGGAAAGCTAAATCCATTTGAAAGAAATCTTTTTTAAAATACCTGTAGATGTTAAAACTTCAGTGTTTACTATGATATTAATCAACATATTATGTATTTACTTATAAGCTACCAATTAAAGGAAGTAAAAATCATGAGACATTTTAATTTCGATGCATGTTCAACTTTTCATGTCAATCAATATGATGCAGATTTTAGTTTCTACAAGAAGTTTTATTCAAAAAGAAAACAATTCTTTAACTATTACCAATATTAGTAGATGTCAATGAAAATTGGATTGACTTTGAGTCCAATGATATACGATTCTCTGCTTTTTCCTTTTAGTTCCTTGGACTAATTTAATTGATTTAAGATAATCAGCCTTATGTCTAACCTATGCATGGGAGTTCCAATGTATTTATATTGATAAAACAAGGTATTAATCAATTTCTAGTGTTTGTTAGTATGCAGATATTGACATCTACTCATGTCATTGTAATGCCAATTCATTATACATTTCAAGGATTATCATTTTGTTCTTTGATGAAATTGTAACAACCAAAGCCTATGTGCTGTGCTCTGAACTCAAAAAACACATCTATACTTTCTACTGTATAGCAAACTAGAACTTTCTTCAGTTACTCGCAGTCACAAAATGCCCCCAAAGACAGCAAAAATATTGTAATTTGCCCTAAAATATATGGTTATGTCCAGCGATGATAACATCAAAAACTCAAAATCACCCCCACAGTGACGTTAGGCAGCTATGCAGTTCAAATTAGTCCTCAATTACAAAACAAGTACTGTAGGACATAATTGTTTGACCAAATCAACCGTAGGAAGTAGCTTGGAATCAAATAGAATATTTCTAACAAGATGAGGCGAAAAATTCGTCAGCATAAATCATACACCAGACAGTTGTCGCAGACAGTTCAAGGTCCGAATGACCATGACCCACTCAAACAAAATTGCAGTCGTAAAACAACACATTATCAATGTCACCATTCAACCACAAAGAGAAGTACTAAAATGACAGATCAAACAGGAAAGAGACAAATAATACGGATCGATGCAAAAAACGATGTGTAAACGTCAGAACAATGATATACATTCTAGGAGAAGGATGTATAACAGTTAAAAAAGTCACTTGAAACTTCCAAATGAGTATCAGCACTGTCACTGAATCTTTCATGGGGGATTTTCCAAACAATTATTCCTCTACAAAAATACTCGACTTTAGAAGTAAGATAAATACCTGTATTATTATTATTGTATCCTTTAATTCCTAGAGGAACATAGGGCTTCAGCCTTGCATCTCCACTGAGTTCGGTCCTCTGATAGAGTCTTCACCTGGCTCCATGTCTGCCACACGTTTTCATCTCCTCTTCACATGACCTCCTCCAATTCACACTTGCACTGACGACCAACTTGCCTCTTCCCTTTCGGGTTCCAATCGAGCAATGGCTTGTCTAGTGATGCCACTTGATAGTTTCTTCAGAATATGACCAGTCCATCTCCATTTCTTCCTGCATATTTGTTTCACAATCGGTTCCTGGTTGGTTCGCTCATTGCCAGAGATCTTTGTTGCTGATCTTTTCTGGCCGCCCATCTGATCTTGAGTATTGAGCGAAGAAAACTGTTAATGAAGGTCTGTAGTTTGTTTGAGATGCTTTTTATGATGCGCCAAGTCTCTGATCCGTATAGTGGCACTGATTGACTTCACATTGGAGTTGAAAATCCGGATCCTATTTTTGATGCTGAGAGTTGTTGACCTCCACACAGACTTGAGAGTAGTGAAAGCTTGTCTTGCTTTTCCGATTCTTGCTTTGATATCCTCGTCAGTTCAGTGCGCCTGTAGTTGTCCTGTTTTATCGTCAGGATGATGAGTTCATGAACACAAATTAATCGAATGTAAACTTAATACGAATGGAAATCATTAGTCAGAAGTAATTTCTACGTATTTATATGAAATTCACTGGCTGTTGGCTAAGTATTGGATGACAGAATGAAAGGCATCCTAGAGATCCAAATTTATACAAATATTTTCCTGTTCAAAGTAAGTGAAAACACTTTTCAACCTTCAATTATGTCATCAGTTCTAAGCTTGTAGTGATAATAGAAATGTTCCATGATAATAATTTTGTTTTTATCCCACAGGCATTTTATTCAGTACTGTATTTACCCAGTAGAACGAAAAAGTATTCATTACTCAACTTTGTGTTCTGCAGAAAGTTGCGATGGTTTTGACTTTGCCTTTTCAAAGTGGCTTATGACTGCATTTCAACCTCCTAAAGTTTATAGCAAGCGAATAACAAGTATATCAGGAAGGTAAACTTTCATCAGCCTAATTTTACTTGGCCTAAAAGAAAATTCTTTATTTTTCTTTGATACAAATAAAAGTGCTATAGTGAAAAAATTAAGCGTTTCTCAACAACAGCACATGCATTTATCAGTACTTACCGACTAGCTACACCTGTATTTCTACTTGGCTGCAAGAAAACCAGTAGGAGACGAGCAGCAGTTCATTTCTTAGAAAAAATGCTTAAAATTCGACTACTTGAACCGATAAGATAAAACTCTGAACTAAGCGGTATTAGACAATAACAATTTAAGTCTTCTGTTTCATTTCCAAGAGTAGAAAAGCTTGGTAAAGAAAAGTTTGACTACTTTTCTTTTGTGAACTGATAAAAATGAAATTACATCTTACACAAATCTGTTATTTTTCAAACTACTGAAGCATTTCAAACTTACTCTCAAATTTCTGAAATAAAATTAAACTTATAGTTTCATGTCTTATTGTTTCTCAACACTAATGACCATTAACTAAAGAATTATTGGAATCTAAAAGAAAGAAATAATCCGATTTCAGCATTTCACATCCACGATCAAATATTACAATGAAACCTTGAAAACATATCAAAAATATATTGGCTTAGAATGAGAAATCATAACAATACTAAAAAGTCTCTGTACAAGAAAAATTTTGAAATTAATGAATGGTCATCATGTTAATAATAAATGTTGTAAAGTAGTGTTTTGAATCTTTGACTGATTATTTTGTTTGTAAAAGTAATTAGTTAATATTGAGGAGTCGTTTTACAGTAGCAATTAAACGTTTATCTTTAAGAATGTCTTCATGTGAACAATGCGGTAAAAGAATTGCATTAACTGACTTCCAGTTATTACAAACAGATAAACTGCGTATATTCACCATACCATCTCCATCGCCATATTTAATTAGTGGTATGTGATTTGGAAATGATGAACGAAACTTTCCAGGTGTTGAAAATATCATTTGTGATATTGTAGGCAGTTGAACACCGTATATACAATAGATGTCAACATCTGTAGGTCGTTCAAGTGTATCAATTGTTTTTTTACCTTCTTGCATCATTAAATAACCTAAAAGATTAGAATAATAATTTTATTTTCAATGTGTATTTATACATATTGATAAGTTTTAATTTGATATAATTACTGCCCACAATCACATAACAAAAATACCACATGATTAGCGACAAGGGCTTCCATAATGCATAATGATAGATTACAATTATTCACTGTTGTGCATACTTCACAGTTTTTCTGCCCCAACAAAATAATGCAGAAGGTAGATAAACATTTCTCCATAAACTATGGCAGTTTGCTAAAAATCGTCTTTGAAATTAAATATGTATGCTGTTAGCTTAGAAAAATTTTCGAATATATATATATATATACATTAAATTTCTGAAATAGATGAAGACGTTTTCTGAGTTTACTCAAAATAATAATTACATTATAGACATATTTTGATGTTTACATTTGTAAATACAGATATTTCATTTGTAGTGTAAATGTAAAGCTGTATAATCGATAACATAACATTGTATCATCAATTTTAGGATCAAAACATGAGGTTTTATCAAGATTCACATCATACTTGTGGAAATATTCACACTCACAACACGTTCTTCAAATTAACAAGCTACCCCGAAGTCCAGTAATGCTTAAATACATTTTATTAGCATTCCGAATCATATTGCAGAAAATAATGACAAGATTAACCTTCTAATTTCATCGTAGAGTAAATTTATTTGATAAACTCTCACAGTATCATTTACTCGTGACGTTTCAACCACAATTTATTTCCCCGTAATCACATCAACTTACTGAAACAAACTTCCAACTTCGCTTATACATCTGAGTAACAAACTGACTGGACATATGAATAAAAAATAAAGGTAATAAATATAGAGTTCAATAGATATACGTGAAACAGACTATAGGGAGATAAACGACATTTGGAAATAAGATGAGTGTCACCAGTAAAATAAAATAAATAAAATGTTAGGATGTGTTAATACAGCAATGGGATCACCAGTATCCCTAGTTGTAGCAGATATCTTTATAGATTGCTGGGAAACATTGCTCTTAATACATTTAATCCTACTCCAAAAATATGGTTGAGATATGTGGATGACACTTTCACAGTGTTAGAAATAGAACATATCTCCAGCTTCTTTATACATATGAACTCACTAGTAAAGGGAATAAAATTCACTTATGAGTCAGTAAATGAACAAGGAGAATTAGCTATGTTAGATTACAAAATAAAACCAACAGAAGAAGGCTCACTATACACTAGCGTTTATAAAATGCCAACGTGTTGTAACACATACTTAGACTTTAATTCATCTCATCTGTTACATGTTAAGGCAGACGCAGTTTAATCCTCAGCGAATTGGGGAAAATTACTAAGTAGTATATCAAAATACTTAAATAATGAAATGAAACAGAAAGAAGACACACTGACATTAAATAACTATCCTATAAAATTCACTAAAAACATAACAAGAGCTCACAAGAAAAAGAAAAAGAACAGTGAGATTAATGACCATAACATAAATAAGAAAGCATTTAAAGGATTTACAGTCTTACCATATAAGGAAGGGACATCTGAAACCCTACGTAGGATTCTTAATAAGGTGGGATTTAGACCTACAAACTCACTCAGGGACAAGCTCTGTAAGTGAAAGGACCCTTTTGACCCATTTGGACAAAATAATATAATTTACAAAGTACCTTGTAATGACTGTGAGGTCAACCACATAGGTCTGACCAGTAGATCAGGGCATGCCAGGTTATCAGAATATAGAAAATTTATTTAAATGTAGAATGATTGACCCCGCTAAGACAAGTAATCTAGGAAAAAACTCGGCAATTGCAGTGCTCGCATTAACACACAACAACGCAATAGAGAGGGACAGAGTTACAACTCTAAAAACTAATATTGGTAGATGAAGGGAATAGCTGATTACTGAATCTTCTTCGATCGAACTTACACCCAACACATGGACTAGAAGTGACCTGGCACCAATACCAGCGATATGGATGACATTACTACCAATCAAATCAGAGGAAAAGAAATAATATTCATTTTTATTTAATTCAATTTTAGATTTTCCCGTCAACTGATTGGACCGAAGTGCTCGGTCTCAGGTTGACGTATCGGCTTCTTGAAACTATGGGCACTGGGTTCAAGCCTCGGTTAGAACATCACCACTGACTCACTGGAGAATGCAGTTACATCCAGATGATGAGTCCCAAATAGGACGAAATGCGCATCCTGGTGGATTTCACTGCTAGTCACCATCCACCAATTAACTTCTAATATTCATTTTTGTTTATTTCATTTTACGTTAACGGGTTTTAACATCTTATTTATTTTATTTTACTAATAATACATCTTATTTCCCAACTTATTTTATTATTTGACGACACTCATCTTATTTCCAAATGTACTTTATCTCCTTATAATCTGTTTCACGTATATCTATTGAACTTTATATTTATTACCCATATTTTTTTATTCTTATGTTTAATCAGTGTGTTACTCAGGTGTATAAGCGAAATTGGAAGTTTGTTTGAGTAAGTTGATATGATAATGGGGAAATAAATTGTGGTTTAAAATGTCATGAGTAAATGATACAGTGAGAGTTTATCAAATAAACTTACTATGTGATGTTAGTCTGTGCTCTACTAGAGTGCCCAAGTTATTTTCTTGTATCAAGCTTCTAGTAATGCTGGCTGTTTACCAAAGTAATTTCAAAAGCTAGTTAAATGTACAAATATATGAATAATGTGAAGAGGAACACTTTAATAAGGAGGCATAAATAGTGATGTGGAGCAGTATTTTTGATTAACCCAATTTTCTTTACATTGTTATTCGTTTACTATGTGAATAAATACTGATTTATTTACCTGATGGAAATGACATATCCTCGAACATCGCTTTCATATCATGTACTGAATAATTTTTGTTAGGCGTAATAATGACTTTTTCCTCTTCTGACCATAGACGTGGATCTGGTAAAAGAAAAGCCATAGCAGGAAAAGAACGTTCTGCCTCTCGGAATGCAAATGGGGTGCGTGCTGGTACTGCAAAATTATTTCCTGGAAACCAAGAAAAAGAAAGCAATTTTTTAAAGACCATTCATCAAAAAAAGAACAAGATACAAAGGCCTTCAAATTCATAATTAGCCAATTTTGTTATTTATTTCTAACCCTTAGCAATTGAACATAGTGCTCAGATGTATAGATGAGAAGCATCTGGAATATAATAGACAAATGTGATTGTTTTAACATGACACGAAGTGATTGTGCAGGCCGAAGAAGTTTCATGTACACAGCTTACATAACGCTGTTTTCCTTATCCATTTGAAAATACTCAGATTACCATATGTCAAAATTAAGTGTAAGAAGAATAATAACTTTAAGTAGTCACATCATCAGCCTAATTACAGTCAATAGTGATTTAGTCTTCATCTAAATGGTAATTTTTGAGTGAGTGCATATTTTTATTACATCGGATGATTTCGTTAATACTAACTTCCTAAAACAGTAAAGCATATTCAACCTGTATCCATATTTAAGTAGATTACTTGCTGACGCTCAGTGTTATTTATTGTTTGATACCTGAAGTTGATCTTTCTCATCATACACTGATGTTTCAGAGTTGTTACCGCTGTGTGTGATCAGATTCTGTTCTTTTATCAGACTCTTTCAAAACAGTTCCTGCAATGAATAAATATCCACATTACTGTCATTTGTGATTTTGTTGGAATACCATGCTAAGAGAAATTCATTTTCAGTTTTTGAGCTTATGTGTTATAGCATTTCAGTGTTGTCACAATGAATATTGTAATTGTAAGGATGAAATTAGTCACTGTGGATATCAAACTACTGCCATAAACACAATGAGCTGTAGAAGTTCTGTAATTTTCCATCAAATACTTGGTGGTAACAGTATGAATTTGAATGTAAACGTAATTCTCAAGTATGCTATGAAAACTGGAAACATTTCTTTCCCGTTTTAAATTGTGAAAGAAGCAGTATTTAATGAATTCATAAGTTTCAGTAGGAATCGTCAGCTGAATATTCTACACAATGTTTTATTTTAACAACTTTTCAAGGTTAAATACCTATTCATGACAGTGTCCCAAAGAGCTCAATCACATGACATTTATTTGACTGTGGTTAATCAGTGACGTTCAGTGAAACTTTTACAGTTATTAAAAAGTAGTGTAATGAAAAAATGCTCTTGGTTTTTCTGAAGCCTATGGAATCAGATCAAACAAGCCAGAGACAGTAATCAGCTTAAATTAACCTTGGTAGCATACTTTTATTTTATATGCCCTTCCCTCTTCTCTTCACAATATTTTTTCCATTATTATTACCATGATTTTATCTAAGGCAATGGTAGTTCTCCTAGGATATGTGCAAACTGGAAATCATATGTAAGTATAAGTCTTGGTGAGGAGTGCTCAAACTGTCTTATGAGCTATTTAATCCTATATGATTTCGATATGTTCAATTTATTTATTTGTGATTTACAAAGTTTCCTTATGTTTCAACATATTTAAATCTAGATGTTTATAATTATTTTTCTATATTTCGTTTGTAAGGATTAGATTTGTTTTTACGAGTTGATCATGGATTGATATCAGTCGGAGAAACATTGAAAACCAGGGAGTACTGGCCAGCTGCTGTTTCATCCTAGTTTGGGAATCATCAGCAGTACGCACCCACTGGGGTTCGGACCCAGGACCTTCCCTTTACAAAGCAAGCTCGTATACCATTCAGCCACTAGAACCCGATTCAATGGCCCTTGAATTCTAACTTTACCAATTCGTGATTTACCAATGTCATTGGTGCGACATCCATCCTCACGCTTGACTGGATGGACCTCGTTGGTCACAACTTCGCACTAGGACTCCAGGAAACTCCATCCTGTAGCAAGTCACTAGCGAGCATCAGATTATAGTAATTCTGCCACAATAAATCTAGTTTGTATGTTAATATGTGCTTTGATGAATATTATTCACTAAATAATGACGTTAACAGATTATCACTCACCAACTATGTATATCTGTTCCAACTGATGCTTAAATGTTGTTACAAGTTTCACGCGTTTGTATGGAATTAACGTTAAAAAGTTATTTAAATAACAATTTCTATGGACTATTCAACTGGTAAGTCCTAACCGAAATTTTTCTAATTCATTAAATATGCTATAAAAATCTGAGAATGTCGAAAGTAAGAATAATAGCCTTAACAGAAATCCTTGTAATAAACTTATTCATTATTCTGTTCATACAAATTTAAAAAACGTACCACAAGTTTCAGAATACAGAGCTTCCATTGATCCACCGAATGGAGCAGAAACAGATATAAATCCTCGGATGTAACGTTGTTTCCAATCCTTTGTCTGTTGTTTAAGAAAATACATTGAATATAAAGATCCCATACTATGTGCAAGTAAGTACACTGGACGATTTTCACCATTTTCATAAGTCTCTTCGATAAGTTGTTTTAATTTATCAAAATATTTTAAATTTTCATCTAGAAGAGATAATAACTTGAAGTAGTTATTTTGTACTTTTATACTGAATACATACGTGGTGTTTTACGAAAGTCATACGGTGCAGCACGTAACGTTTTATTTCGTATGAAATAGCTGTCTTCAGTTAATGCGTCAACAAGTAATTTCAGATAAATTGATGGAGAATATTTTTCTTCAGTGAGATATTCACTTGCCCATGTATCACCCCAACCAGGAAATTCAACATTACATAAATCTCTTTCTTTAGTTGTCTTTGAAACTGGATCATACTCTAATCTGTGGGTTATTTTTTCCATAAAAATAAATAAAATTAATTAACTTTACCCCATATAAGAGAACAATTTCTCAGGTAGAAAGAAAATAATCAGTCGAATCCATACAATAAAGCTTTTCACACGTGATTGTGGATCTTTCACAATACAATGAGCTTGTGTTCCACCGATCCCATGTATAAATACCACAGGATATCGAATATTTGCATCTCTAGCTTCATGGGCATGTGTATGTTTCGAATCATAAACTGGGGATGTCAACACTCTGTTCAGTAGGTAAAACTAACATAATTTATTGAGAATAACACAGAAAAGTGTCATTGTTACCTGAACTAAAAGTATTTTAATTGTGGACCTCATTAACATAATCAGTTTGACAAATGATATGCGTAAACTTCCTTCATACTAGGTGTATTATAAGCAAAAGTTATATCACTTGTAGACCTGATTAAATTTACCGTCAGTCAGGTGAACAGTGTGATCACGTAGGCGGATACAACTTTTAACTAGAGATCATATACACACTTTAATGTCTCAACCAATCAAAAAGTGTAATGATATAAACCTACTGATAAGAGCATACATTACATCTGTCATTTTTGCAACCAATCAAATCTTTTGCTACTCCATGTTTTTTTCTTTTGTTTTAAGTAAATATCACTCTGGCTAATCTGAAAAGTATTTATCACAATGTAGTACAACTTGTTTATACGCCAGTGGTGGAATGGTGGCATGCTTGCCAGTTATGCACGTGATCATAATTCGATACCTGTCAGACGCACTACTAGACCTCACTTAGCCAGTAGTAATCCTTGTAAAGAGGGAAGGTCGAGAGTGTTGCTATCGGCCTCGCCCCATATATAAACACCGCCACCACTACTGGGACTTCAAAGCTCAAGCTTGAAGTTGATGCTCCACTCAGAGCTAAAAGGGAGGAGAAAAAAATCATCACTCACTGCGGAATGCAGGTACAACCAGATGGCGAGTCCCAGAGAGGATGAAATGCGCGTCCTGGCTTCCACTGCTAGTCACCATCCACCAATTAAAAAGTCATTGTGTTTAAATTATGAGAAAAACATTCTTAAATGGCTTCGCAGTGTGTCAGCTATTATTGGAACGCCTGACCACATGAATGGTGGGTGAACACTTTACCACTACACCACTGACTCACAACTGTGATAACTGATATATATATATATATATATATATATAATTCGCAGTTATAGTGCTTCTGAGAATGAATCTTCGAAAAGATACCTCTACCAGACGTCTTGTTTTCTGTCTGATGTCTTGATGGGTATTATTTTTATAATTACAGTTAATCGTTTAGCTTGTATGACATCATTTCGTTACCGTTACCAATAACGCTTGAAAATAAATATTCAAAACAATCAGTGGTGAAAGAATGGTGCTTTTAGTGTATATGTACACTTATTATCGTGTTAATCGATAAGAAACTTTAAAAAGGCATTACACAAAAGTAAGTTGAGGACATTATAATTCCAAATTACCAAGTTGAAGCATATCACGGTATTGATTAATTTAACACAAAGATCTGGTGGTATATGCACTTGCTCATATATTTTTCAAAAGATGGGAAACAATTACACAGATCGTCGAAGCAAGTACATTAGAAACAGTGAATTCTTACTCCTAATAATTAACTTAACTGAAGTCATGTAAAATTCTCAAAAAAAAAAACGCTTGTGAAGTACAGTTTAATTCTCAGGAAGACAATGCAGTGATGCATTTAGAAACTGGTAACATCTTTTTAGTTGTCTTCAAGAGTATAAATTTTCTTTCATGCTTTGAGAAGCTTCAGAATGCTTTTAAATCACTCAATCCTTTATTGAGTTGACTGACATCACTTGAAACTGTCAGTCCTATGTTAAAGTAGAAAATAAACCTTTATTAACAATGTTTATACTACAAACTGTAACAGACAACTTGTTGGTCTGTTGTATGCAAGTATCACCTACTAGAATAATTTTCTCCTAATACTCGTTTAAAAGTGGATGTTTAAATTTCTGATCTGGTAACTACATAATTACAACTATTTCACAGCATTTGCAATGTACTTAGCACAATTTGTTCTAGATTCCTGAGGCTGCTCCACTATTATTATGATTATTTCCTTAAGTTCTGAGTGGAAAAAAATAGAGCTACAATAGCGCGTCCTCATTTCATATTGTTCTCTTCAGTCCTCCTCAGGTAACCCCAAGACTTCTCACAGTCTGTCATCTCCTTTTCACACGATCTCCTCCGTGTCACCTTCATACTTACGACCATCCCGCCGTTTCCCATTCGGATTCAACTCGATGGCCTGATACGTGGTGCCACTCAAAGGTCTCCTATGCGGATACCCTATCTATCTCTACTTTCTTTAACATATTTGTTGAACAGTAAGATTCTTTATCGGTTAGTTCTCAGAGTTTCTTGCTGCTAATTCTTTCTGACCGTTTAGTCTTAAGTATGGATTCAGCGAAGGCAGTTGTTGATAAAAGTTTGTAGTGGCCTGTTGGAGATGTATTTCATCACGCACCAAGTTTCTGACCCATAAAGAAGAATCGACTGATTTAACATTGGTGTTGGAAATACGAATTTCGTTCATCATTTGACCTTATTATATATGTTCAACAGTATTTTAATGAATGAAGTGAAACTTCATTATTCAAATCTTTCTTTTAATTGAATCAGGTTGCTTTTTTAAAAAGCACCTCTTCTGTACACAATATTCTTGTGGTTATTTGCAAGTAGGAATACTGCATTGGTTAGGGTTTATTGCAGACTAACTGTTTCTCTACCTAAAGGGTTTTTGTGCCTCATCCAATTATCAACCCTTTATCAATAAATTCGAAACTCTAGTCACTAAAGAATTCTACAAAATAAAAATTAGGAGAACTAATTGCACAAACTTTGAAGTTATGTATCCTAATGTGTAAAGAATAGTTACTGTAAACACCACCTTGTTGAATATCCCAAGCGTTAATTCTGCCAGTTTTGACATCAAGAAGACGAAAATTTAGCGAAGAATAAATAAAACGTCTCAGTTTATGGAAACTGGGTTTCACAGCTGTAGATTCCCTTCAGTATTGTAGACAACAAGAAGTTATCTAAGATACACTACCAATTAAAATAATACTATCCTAATAATTGATATACCCAAACCATAACTAAAAAGAATATATATATATGAAGAAGAGAAGACATTCAGAGAAGAGACTCTTTTTGGCGAATTCATTCACATAGCTGTACAACCGCATTTATATATAATTATTTGTGTATGTGTGTACTTGAGGTTTGTCAAGTTTAGACAATTAATTAGGTAATACAAGAATTATCTAATGTAGAAACAAGGTTAATTAGACAGCAACTAAAGTAAGATTGAGTTAGTAAGTCAGATCACGTAATTTAATTGACTAAAATGTTTCAACTTCGGTCAGGATAGCAACAGAGGTAATTACAGGTAGAGACTAAGTACAGGTGGAGTAGAGAATAATGCCATTTAAATTAGGACTAAAATTAAGCAAATAAATTGGATAATGCAACATAAATGACTAGAAATTGAGCATCTGCCTATTTTTTACTACTCTCCAAGCTTTTGTCTTTAGCAACAAGCCTCTTGATGTTATATTTTATGATGAGAAGCAACTGTACTGTTCGTTAATCTACCATAATGTGAAACTGCATCTCAGTAAAGTAACACATCTTCACTTAAATGTTCATCAACATTATTCTGATATATATAATCTGAAAATCGATTAAAACATTACCTTGTTATTAGATGTAGATAAATGCACACTTTGGATTTATACCATTGATACATACATATAAGCTTAATGAGGTAGAAGTATTATCGTACCTGGTTTTATACATAAAAAACTCTGTTTTGAAGTCTCATACTTCAGCGACTTATAAAAAAAACATTTCTGCGCTGTCTGTAGTTTGTTAATAAATAGTCTTCTTGAAAGATATTTGTTAAGCTGCTTTTTTGTAATAACTCACTTTGAAAAAACAGAAAATGAAGTTCTAGATTAGGCGGATTATTTGAAAAGTTTTCAGTCTGAGTTATTTTATTATGCTCTTAAGCTAATATTTCTGGTGAACAGTATGCGTCTGAGTACTTTAAGCAGCTAAATTTAACAAATAAGATGAAAGATTAAGTAGGTTTACAAATACTTCAAAGCTATCTTATACCAAAGTGTTTGATTATTCTAAAATTCCTTATTCTGTTACTATTTTCGATGAATGCTACAGAGCAATAGACTAGTAGAACACAGTCGTGTATCACAGAAGAAAATTAGGCATTAAACTCTAAACCACTGGGCATAATATCTCCTAACCCATATCCTGAAAATATATCAATACTACTCCAGTCTCTTTCAGTTTTACTAAAATTTCTTGTACACAAGTACGAATCAGGTGTACATGTGGCGTTTTGAAGCATCTAGAATTCATACCGCTTCAAAGTTGCCTTCAGCAAACAAATAGCTGCTTTTCTTTACTGTCTTTTCTACAAGAAACATCAACATAACTAACACAGAAAGAAAGTATCTGAAAAACATGACAACAACTCTAAAACCGCCGCATATTCTGTGAATGAATAAGAAAAAAATTTAACGAACCGCGTTTGTTTACGCTTACATTCAGTCCTTACCCATTCTGCAAAATCAAAAGTTCTTCTTGACTCACATTTTGTCTCATATATCATGTGTTCTTAACTAATATTTTCTTCTCCTGCAAAGTTACTCAATTAATCAAATATTTGAAGTTGACATATTGATTTTTAGAAATTAATTTGCCGAAATTTTAGTTTAGCTATCAAAAAGTACTCACTGACTCATTGTTTAGTTGAATGAATTTTGATAGATGATGAAAATAATGGAATTAGTTTTTTTCTTGTTCTGTAACAAAGTATATAAATTTATTAAGGTTAAAAACTAGAAAACAACAAACATGATAGTTACTTTGATTTACACATCAATTTAAGTTAGTTGTTGTAAGACATCGGCATACTGTGTAGAGTTTCAATGTGTTTATGTCAGGGAAACAGCACTTTTATTAATCATTTATTTTACTGACGAGGAAAGTGTGATTTAGAACAACTAATGTAAGTGAACAATATTCTTTGCTCTTAGATTTATTAAGGCTTTACTTAGAAATAAATATTAAGTGTTATAGGTTGATAACGTAGCTATAAATTCTAGATTTAGTTACGATAATAATAATAATAATAATAATTTTGTTAGCAACTATGATGAACAGTGGAGCATCTTGTGATAAGAATAATATTCCCCTGTCGGTTTTGTAGGCACTCGAATAGTTTCAACTGTGAATACAGAAAGAATCCATATCTAGTATGTCCCTTCTGAGACTCGAACCGGTGTCATCCAATGCTGCAGACACAGAGTGTCAGA